ATAAAACACCAACCATAGATAGACTGGCAAACACGCATATCCGCTAGCACATCATCGATTACTTTTAGCCTTGCGAGAGGCTGAAGTAATCGATGATGTGCTTAATGTAGTCAAGGGTGCATGCAAACTGAGTCACACGTCACCAAGGACTAACCTGCTCGATGAGTCTGCTACAATATCAGCGAGATTACCGTACGTGAAGTGTCGCAGGAACTGACACAAAGCAAAGGGCCTGGTGCTGTTGTAAGGGATGCATGAGATACAACAGCAACGATACCCAACTCCGAGTCAAGGAATGTCTTGTTGACGCGTGTGACGCACACTAGACGAATTGAAAGATGATAAAATACACGTCAAAAAGAAAGAATTTTGGAGAAGTCTTGGCTTTACGAACGAGATGTTTAAGGTCGTCAAGGGTAAGATGTCGGGCATATCCTCGACGTATGTGCTCCAGAATGTCAAAGGATTTGCCGGAGAAATAGTTAACATTTCGAAGTGACGTGAAACCTGTTCATGTCCGAACTAAATGCAGGAAAGATCTAAGAGATTGTCGCATCGGTTCCAAAGGAGAAACTGTTGGACTTTTTTGATCGTTATCCAGAACAAAACGAGAGTGTATTGGAGACCGTCAATACAAACTGGTTTGCTGCTCAAGGCTGAGACGCCTTAACCAAGCGTACATTTTACGAAGGTCCGTGAAAGTAACGTGGTGTTTCTCTAACAGAAGTGCTGAAACGCCTTACGGTCGATAGGGGCACCCGGCACGAAACGAACTTGAAATTCGTCACCAAGTATTGTGTGACCACGCAGCGGCCATCGCGTAAGATACGAGTCGACTACAACGACCCGTACTCCGACAAGAAGGCCAAGACGGGATGTGTACGTGAGAGAAGATGGCCTCAATGCTGCCTGACCTTTTATATGCGTAAAGCAACATACTCTAAATATTCGAGCATAATTAAAATCTGGAGCCGAAACCTCCACACAACTTACGTATGTCATTGGACAAAATTCCTAGATTCTCTTGTCTTGCAGTGGGTATCGGATTAATAATTGTGACCTTGAACTTTACTATGCACATTTTAACATCGTTCGTGCAGATATTTAGGTCCTCCAACTTCTCAAGAAGATAATCAGGAGTCTTAAGCTCTGAAGACACTTGATAAATAATTACATTAGTTGTTTGTGATAATTGAAATATCCATGACCATGAAACATCTGCGTCTTTATAGTCCCTGGAAAGATTCAATTAGCGTAAAAATTGATACATGTTAGCGACCCTTGCATGATTATACCTATCCCCACCGATATACATAATAATCGATTTAGCAGTAGAGTTACTAGTATGTCCATTTAGATCCCCCGACCCTTTTATCTTCCACAAAATTTATTTGTGTCTCCTCGAACCTGTTCAGACGTTCACTTTTTTCCCATCATCAGCACGATATGTTCTGACGCGATGTCCTCTCGTGGTATGGTACCGTCCACTGCATCGAAAACATCTGGTATGTCCATCTCTTATAAGCTCTTCATGCACACAATTGTTTATTAAAAGCTGACAGGAATTGCTATCGCATACGCCCCAACGTGCGCGGGTCCTTTGTGTGCATCATGTTTTGGGCTTACAGCCTGTAAACCTTTAAATTTATCATCGGAGCGTGCGCAATAAATGGAATAAGAAAAGTACATATTGTTATCTCCGGCCAAGAAGCCACTTCTTTGCGTGGGTCCATTTTATATATTGGAAAAAAATAATTTGTACTTTACTTGAACAAAAATTAAGGTTAAATCTTAGAGGTTGATATTATTCGTGAAACGGGTTTTAACTATTTGGTAAGAGGAGATCAAATTTTAGTGGTGCGAAAGATGTCAAGTCATTTGCAGCCCTCAAATTTGGCAAAGGAGGCAGAATTAGTCTTCCGCAGCTCATTGCAGCACATTTGCACTTATACTGTTTTTTCACACGCTTTCGCCGTGCATTATTGGTGCTGTCGCGCCCGAATCAGGTTGGAAACCTGGTTTAAAAATGTGATTTGTCAATGGTAGATGCAAATACTACTTTCAACCAATCGCAGCTGGTAGAAAAGGCAAAGCACCAATTCGAATTCTGATTTTAAAAACAGTCCCGGAGCGATATTCGGCATACTTCGTAATCGCCACAAGTTTTTGCTCGAGAAAGAAATGATGAATATTAGCCTCAAGAGCAAGCGGACCCTATCCCACGCGTTGACTACAGTTAGCGAGGACTTAGACAACTGGGTAACGCAGTGTCAATTTATTCGCGTGATGCTGATAAAGATGAGAGTGATGTAGTTTGCCATAGTAAGCGTCATTTTGAACGACCAGATGCCTTCAATTTAAATTAGTGGCTTGATGCGTTCCAGGGACGTCACATCTATAAGCAAATTATAGCACATGGCGAGAGCTGCTCGTGAACTTGAACTACACTCTTGCATTGCGACGCCATTCGGGCTCGCCTAAAAAGGTCTTCCGCTAGCTGAAATGTATAACATGCACATAAACGGAACTATTTTGGCCGCGAGTAGAATAAGAGTGTCACCTATTGAGAATTAGGAAAGATTGTAAAAGAGAAATACTTGTGTGACCATCGCTCTGACGAGCGACGTTGATGACTAGGATCAACGTGAGCTGTTTATTATTAGCTACGGAAAGAATCACCGTAATTTCCAAAATAAGAAAACGGGCCAGCTTGGTTTATACTATCGCAGCAAGCTAAAGGCGTGAATACAGGTGTTCTACTCAGAGAGGTACTCATTGATCCTGACAACGACATGCACTCTGAAAAACACACATCCATCTCCACTTTTATATGCATCGTCTAAAAATGCGCAATGCATGGACCACGAGCGTGACAGTCATATTCATTTTGCCAAACCCGTGCGAAAAGATGCGGCATATGGAATCCGGTATCATCGGCTCAATTAAGCGTCTATACCGTCACCTCAAGCTCGAGCACGCATTCAATGTGAACATACGAGTATCACTGACAAAAAAGTTTTTGGCTGGTCCAGCTCAAAGCGATTAAGTGATCAAAAGTTGTTGTGGTAAGGTCCGAGCGATTTATTTCTGAAGAGCTTTCGGAACACAGGGCTCGTGCTTGGACGCACGACCACTCGAAGAAACGAATGGAGCTAATTTCCAACTGAACATGAGACTTCTGGCAAAATATTATAGCTGGGCATCCGCGATCTGGTAGGCCTAAAGGAATCTGTGTGCTGCACCGCTAAGTCCACAAAAGAGTGGAAGCGCTGACTGTCTACAGTCTTTTACAACTTAATGGCGGATCGTAGGTTCCTGTTCGCGCCCTAAAAACCTCAGTGTGTTGACGTATCAGTGTTTCTATTCAATCAATAGACTTATTTTGGTATGACAGACCAATCTGTTTCACTTTATTCTCGCAAGACGAACATTATGTTAAAACACACAAGGTTATAGTAGTCCATTTTTCTCTCGACCCAAAATACAGACTAAACATTTGGTGCGTATTTTAGCACAAAAGTCGAGATATTACTCGATGTGTACGCCAAAATACCCGAACCAACAAGATTAGAAACCTTTAGGTATATGCAAAATATTGAGGCGGACCGGATCACAACTTAAGATTTATGTGCCGGCGAGAGGCACATTATTTATACTTAATTGAAGCTTCTCATTCTCTGGAGATTGCTTATATAATTACCGTCCTTCAATAAAAATACTTTTTACATTTTTCTGTTGACTCAGTAGAACTAATTGACTGTGTAACAATATTGTGTTCAATGTGATTGAGATGGAAAAAAGCCATATTTGGTGAATTATAAGATGCATCAGTTTTTTATCTTACACATCTAATTTCTTTCTAATGTTATATCTTTTATAGCAGAATTTAGTTTAGCAACACATTCCAAAGTAGTATAATTTCAAAGAATTCTCACTTATCTAATCTACGATTTAGTTATTTGGCAAATGAAACAGCGTGTACCTTGGCTTGCTGTCTAAAGTGGGCCCATCTATCGTATAAATCAATTTTTACAGGAGTCTCTACAACAATCATTCGAAAGTTAAAGACAACAAACATTGCATTATATAGCTAAAATGTACTAAACGACACTTTTAAGATTATCTGGAAACCTTGATGAAGCCACTGGGGTATTCAGCATGTGAGGGAATTTTAAGTATGAAAGCGTGGTCATTGACTACTTATATACCGCAGATTCACGCATTGGATCCGGCTAAGATTGGAGGGTAGAAGATACTTGAACAATTAAGCAAAAATTCTGTACAGTTCCTTCAGTCATTATTTAACATTCTATGTATGCGTAATGGCACTCCTGGTTTGATAAACATACTTTTAAGAGAATAGAAGAGCTATTACAAATACTTCTGGTAGAGTTTATCATAATCTTAAATCTCATTGACTGCACTAGCTCCATTACGCGGTCACGATTTTTTTCTTCCAGAAGTCCTAATATTAAATCTTCCAAAAATCATCCGACCACATGCTGAACCACGGTGGCACTTTTAATAAATTGCGGACCAATGCATCAATCAGACCGTCACATCCCCTTTTACTTATGAAGGCTTGTGTTTTGAGATCAAAATGCAGAGTGAAATTATAAAGGTCTTTGGGTTAGCAATCGCATTTGCTACTTTAAGCCTACAACACATTTAGCGCTGAATTAAAAATTCTTTTTGCATAGCATTATGTGTCGCGTAGTCGCGCGCTGATAATTACCACTTCGCGCGTTTAAAATGAGTGGTCCATCTCGAAGTTGGTGAAGCAAATTGTTAAGTGATCTTCTTAATCCTTATTTTCACATTCATGGTAAGTATCTAAATTCGTACAACGCACCATTGAGCTTGCGCACGGAATGTGTATAATTGGCATTAAAAAAATTGATCGGACCTCAATTTCAAGATCTCTTTTTCAAGCAGATTAGTGAGAAATGCCGTCTTGACGTCTATCTCGTAGAGCACGAGGTTGTGCTGCGCGGAGATGCTCAAAAATCCAGAACGACGCGAACAAAGCCACGAGAGCAAAAATTATGTTTCAAGTCCACACCATAAGCTGGAAAATGTTTTGTCACAAGGCGGGACTTGTACTGTTTTATGAAACCCTTGTCAAGTACCTTTACCTTGAGCACCCACTTGCTGCTGATTACCTTGCGACCACTTGGCAAGGGCACGAGCTCCCACATCTTGATCTTGCACATGGCTGTAACCTTTAATTGCACAATTTGTTTCCACTTTCTTGCATCTTCGGATTCCATTGCCGATGCTTATGTAATTACTAGATTCACAACAAAAACACAGTCTTCTCCTAATTTTTCGTTGATCGGAGCGAGTAGCGCCGAATTTCTGTTAGTAATGACCGTCACTATGTACTAACGTTGTGCTCGCTTGACTAGTAGTACCCACGAGACCATAGCGCTTCTCCACTGGAGGCTTTGACTAGATTTACAGTAAGTGCGCATGTAGAAGGCCCCTAAACCGCGGTCGTTAATCAACATAATACTGCTGCGGATGTTGTGGCGGTCGACCTGTACGTTGCGATTGCTGCCAATGTAGTTACTCATGGATCGAGATTGGATCGAGCGCTTGCTTGTCCATATTGTCATTGTCAATTTTGATGAGGTGTACGTCGTAGTCTTCTATTTAATCGCTTCATTTGTGATGCTGTTGTCAAATTTTGGGTGTCGATTGTCGTTGCGTACTTTATGCTGTTTAAGGTGTCTTTCATAAACCAACCGTCCCCAATTACTACGATGCGACTGCTTAATAACCAGCATACTAATACGCTTTTTATGTGGTAACACTCTCACAAAAAGCGACACAATTTAGATCGCACAATGAGCTTCGATCTCTTCTCCATTAGCACGTGTACATATGCGTAGCATCCGTATAGCTTTTGTCTCTTTAAAAAACGATTTGTTTCGTTAATTCAACTGAAGCGGGGGCTTTTTATGACCAGTTGCAAGCGTCAATAGCGTAAGAATGCTGCTGTCAATACCGCCTCACCCAGTAGCGTTTTGGGTTTCCCGCAAACTCAATTATGCATTGAGCTCTCTCGACTAGAATCTGGTTCATCCGTTCGGCCACTCCGTTCAGCTCAGTCGTTAACGGCGGCGTCAAATGATGTATGACGCCGTGGTTGCGAAGAAATACGGTAAACTGTTTGTACGCGTACTTACCACCGTTGTCGCCGCGAAGCACTTTGATGCAACGCCTGGTATAAGTCGTGGCAATCAAAGTGAACTGCATGAACTTTTTAGCACTTCTATTTTGCTTTGAAGCATGTATGATGTAAAAAAAACCGTTGCTTGTCGTTGATGAACGTCAAGAACTAGGGTTTGCCAGAGAGTTTCACAGCCTGTATCTGTTGGCACACAGTGGAGTGCATGACGTCAAGCACATTCCTAGATGGCTCTCTTGCAATTTTCTAAAAGTTTACTCGCGTCTGTTTCCCGAGTAAAAACCCCATTCGAAGCATCAACTCGATCACTGACGCAATCTCTAGGCCGATAATTTGCTTCTGCTTTACGAATGCGCTGAGTAGATTATGGTGTACATGTCCAAGATGTAGGTGCTGCTTTTACTACTTGCTCATATAAGAATCATTGGTTCTGATTGAAAGGCACACTATATGCACTTGCACTGGTTCAATTCATTGCTTGATGAAACCTTGCCGTCTCGCTCGACAATATTCCACCCATGGTTTTTAAAAATTGGACAACAAGTGCTTGTGTCATATTTCACTGCTATGACACTTTAAAAGGAATCTGCCGACCGCGAACAGATTGCGCAATATCATCATATTGCACACCTCGTTCGTAAGCACACCTTTCTTGGCGCCACTTCGGATCTCTATTATTAGTGATGTACCGCCGCTCTTACTCGTCTGCACATCTTCGTCGTCTTCGAGATGGACATTTAACGGATCATTGATGCGTCATGAATTGCTAAAAAAGAACCATGAATGTGTCGTACCAGAGTATATGATTCAAGTCGGATCTTGACGCTGTCGTTGTTCTTCCATATTATAATCTTGTTTGTGCGCCACGTTCGCACTCTGCGTACACTAGCGGTCCGCTTTGTATTGAATCCGCTAGAAACATTCCTACGATCAGTAGTTCGTCTTTCCGCAGTAGTTGCTCGCGCCAGTCTTCTTGAATGGTCTTTTCACTCCTAACCACCCGTACACATCAAAAACGCTTGGCTGCCTTGCTTCTTGTGCTCCATGCCTTCATGTGGGAGCCGACTTTTAAGGCCTTCCACTGCAGCAATTCGGCACGTGACCCGAATCCTTGATTAAGAACTGGTATGACTCGCTAACTATGTTAAAAAAAGTGATTTTAAAGTCCTCCTCGACGATTGAAGCACCGACTGCATCGAGCTGCTAGGCCAGATCCTTAAGCTTTTTCTTATGCCCCAGCACATCATTATCTTCATCCAACAGTGTCTTGAGGAAGCATAGACGAATAGATAGCTTGTTTTTTAGTCTCTTCCTCTCGTAATGCATGTTTGATTGTGACTACGTAACGTGCGCACTAATACCCGAACGGACCATCGGCAGCGTCGAATATTTCTTAGATAGACAGGTAGATGCTAGCGCCTTGCACGACTTGTGCTTTTACGTTGACTGTTCCAGTGCAGTGGTCAATGGTTTTGGCTTTATCTCTCTGCTTGACACTTACCAGATGTCCCACTACTCTAGACTCATCTGCACCTTGAACCTCTTAGTGTATAATATCGTCCCATCATACTTGATAATGCGGAATCTGGTGGCAGTTTTAGGGTCCATGTAGTAGACGAAGTCGGCGTCGGGTGCAAATTTAGTGAAGTTGGACTCAAAACCTATTGCCAAGTCTTTTTAGCTATGCAAAAATGCAAAGTGAATGCATCTAGTATTATAAGTTCGCACTCTATTTTAATACGCTCACATTACTCAATTTATATCAACTATACGCATTTGAACCCGATATCACGCATTACTGATCGTTACATTGCTCATTAGTAACTGCCACGTGACGTGTTACTAATTTTCGCGTCGAGCATTAGTAGTCGTTACGTTGCGCAATACCAATTCGAATTTTAGGTCCCGAGGCAAATTATACACAACATTTTATATCGCACTGAATCCAACGCAGAAGAGAAACCCGATAATAGGTCTTCGACCGTGTCTAAAATGATCCGGGATTGATCCATTAATATTAACCACCCGGCTCGCATGTATTCGGAAAGATCGCGTGACCGCTTTGGTCATCCTCCCAAACGAATCACCTCTTTGTTTAAACGTTTGTCAGAAACAGTCCGAACGAACGCATATTTAGCATTTGTGATACGATTAATGGAATTCGAGTACAGCTTGCATTTTCTCCTGCCACCTGGCCGTGCAGCTAACCATCGTAAGCAAAAAGAATAGCGCTGTGTCACCTTCATCCTCGTCACTGGCTCTGTTCAACCTCGAATGTCCGATACTCAACACTGTAACAGTAGTAATTTTGTCACCTAACTGGTGGAGGCGTAGCCTGTCCTGACTATAGATATACGTCTCGAGTCTCTCGTCCTCTCTATGTAGCTCTTACGCAGACGAACCTTCATGACAACAATTTTAAAAGCTGCCTTGCATTACATAATCTTACACGTACAGGCAACTGCAAGAAATTTTTTACCGTCTTCACTTAGGTGCAATGAGGTTCGAGTGGGTGACCTACGACTAACTCACTGATTTATGAACACTGTTTTCTTTTGGTGGCTCGAAAGTGGGGTTTGTCCTTCGGGAAACCCGTAAGACGGATCGAAATTATGTCTAATTTGTAATTCATGAATTTAACAGAAACCTAAACTGATAATTGCTAAAAGAAAAATAATCAGACGAGCGCTCTAGTAAAACGCAGTCTCTACATCACAGTATAACTGTAATGTCACCTTAGTGTAAGCGCTCAAATGACTTTTTTACTGACGCCATACGTGTGTAAGACACACAATTTATAGTGGGTAACCTACTGCTGTTCCTCAACCACATAAAAAGGTCTTAGCATGTTCCACATTTATTAAATTTTTTAATTTTTTATGTGACTTTACATGAACATTTTCGTTTAACGGTCTCAACCCGTTATGTCACCACTTTTATATAAAGATTGTTTACACTCTATAAAATTTAGCGAAGAAGAAACCCTGGACATTGAGTTGTCTAAGACGTGCCGCTTATCATCTATGCTTGCTTGTTCGAGCTGATTGTGAGTGCACTTGCTAAAAGTGACACCACATGGCGTTGTTATTACATCGACGTGTGAGGAATGACGAATTGCATACAACGATACCCAATTCTCCAAGAATAACGATGTGGCTCGCGATGAAACAACGACGACACAATATGCTAGTGTCACGACAATGACTGCTAGTATAGCGGTTGCGTTGTCGACAATTATTGTGTTTCACCTCACGTAAATTATGCGGAGAACAAAATTTAATTTATGATAGAATAAAATGAGCCTACTTCCCTGTAGTCTTCGATGGATGATAAATACGGTGAGCGTGTGTGGCACTGATGTAAATTGTTTTCACCCCATTATGATGCAAAAACAGCTCCTGTACACAAATCTGGTGATTTTGCAGTAATTTTACAGTCTATCCATAGGAAGGTTTGATCATTTTCCACAGGATAATGTTAGCTTTACGATCACTAAGGCAAGGGATGCATAAAGAATTAGTCGCTTCTTCCAGATTAGAGGTTATATTGAACGTTAGAATATCCATAATGAAATGTTCGTTTGTCGGGTCAAAGGATAGAGCAACTTAAAGAACGCTAGACCTCCGTCCGTCTGTATCGCATGTGCTGCAAATTGAAGGCCTCGATGAACCTAAAAATTACCACCGATGCCATTATTAGGTGAATGGCCATTTGTGGATGGTTATGCTGCATTGTATTTGCTGCGTGATCCATCAAAATTCGTAATTTAATGGCGTCTTCCTTACACTATGACGGAGGAAAGAGTATTAGCCGTGTTTTTATCGGTCGTTTTGTTAATTTAATAAAAAAACGATCAATACAAAACAGCAATTTTACAATTTAGTAAGCCCCATTCTAAGGTGGCTGGGATTTAGCAAATGAAGTTTACGCTTGATCGTGCCCATAAGGGTTGTATCAAAACCCATGCTTTTTCGCGATGTACTGCTTCAGTCGATTCATTGAGACCTAGAGGAGCGGATA